TATATGATTAATAACTATCAATATATACAGTATCAAAAGATTAATTTAATTACTTGATTTGATTTTAAAATTATTAAACAATGATTAAAAACAAATTTATTAATGACAAACTGCAAAATAGATTTATTGAATATTTGAACTTTCCTCTATAAAATTTTTATTTATCAATAGTCATTTCAATGCTTATCAATAGAATTTTACTATACTATATATAATAACTTGCCAATTATTCCAAATTAAAAGGCAAAATACTTTAAATGCGATAGTGTGTTTCGGAATTTTAGTTTTATTAATGAATACGATTTCATTCATGGAATTAAAAATTGGCATTTCCAATCCAATAGCCGTCTTCCATAAAAATCGTGCAAAATATTGATAGTAATTTTTCTTAGAAAATATAATTTAAAAAATTTTATTTTCTTATTATTAGTAATATATGTATACGAGTATGTACATATGCATTAATAATGGAATAAACTATATAAAATTTATCAATTTATTTCTAGGAATTATTGAGGGTTTTAATCGTCTTCACTTATTTAAAAACAACTTAATTTTAAAACAATACCCTTATTCTCTATTCTCTAATCAAAAGAAAGGAAGTTAGTGATAAGGAAATAATAATTGAGCTGATAAAAATGTATGCGTAAAGTTTGCTATATCAACTATTGATTAGATGTTTTTATATTTGAATTGTAGTAAAGAATTCTTCCATTTGAATCATATCTCTGCAATATTATAAACTGACTAATAGAGATGATATAGGATATCGTTTCTAAAGCAGAAGAAAATTATAGTGTGAAGTAAATCTGATAGAAATCTGATAGAGTTGAGTACACAGTTTACTTTTGTTTCAAAAACTGCTAACATTATTTAATTCCTTATTTTATTCTTTTTAACGTATCTGCATATCTAGATTATCGTTCAGATATGAACGTTTGTTTATTTTAATCTTATAGCATTGCTTTGGCAAGGTTAAGAGAATGCAATGAACTCGGTTAATACAGCGCATTTAGCTAAAAATACCAAAAAATTAAAAACTATATTAAAGAAGCTCAAACTTCACTGCTAAAGTAGGACAAAAAATTAACTTTTCTAAAAGAAAATGTATGTTAAAATCAAAAACTATTAAAAACATAATAAAGTATTTTTTAATACTTAAGAATAGCACTAACTTCTATAGATGTTATAGCCGCATTGTTACGAATAGAATCTTCTGAAAGCATGTAAAGCTTTTAAAATCTCAAAATTATATTGAAAAATCATAACATTTGTATATAAAAAACTTCGATTTACCCAGTTCTGACATACGGATGCCTAATATAGGCTATTAAATCTTATAAATACACAATCATTTTGTATGCCAGAAAGCATACGCTATGAAAAGATAATGTAAGAGGTAGGCAACTTTATGTAAGATGTTGCATGTGATTGTAGAACTTTTTCATCAGTCCGGAAGTAAAATGCATAGCTCCATTAGGCACTGTTAAGCAACAAGAAACAAAAGGTAGATTGCTGATTCATAAATATATGTTTTTAGTATCATTGTTTAAAACAAAAAAAACAAGTTGATAAAAAGGATGAAGTTCTAGCATTTGTAGAGCATTTCGTTTTTAGTATGTTTTTACACTATAATCGGGGTTTATTTTATTAACGATATACATTTTTATTTCATAAAATAATAATGTAGTTTATTGTTTTCCTTGTTTTATTTAAAGTCAAATTTTATTTACTTAAATTTGATTTGGATCAAAATATATTGGCATATACTTTGTATACTTTGTACCCAATTGCATACATTTAATACAGAAGTTTTTAATATTTATAAGTTAGTGTCCAATTATAATTTTACAAACAAAATATAACCAAGTGATAGTTTGATTAGAACAAAACTATAATCCATTTAATTCTCTTTTTAAAATTTACATAAAATAAACTAGAAATCTTAGTTGTAGTTAACTAGTTAATAAATAAATACTACACAGTAATACTGAGATGATAATTATGTTAGATTAAAATCTAACATAATTCTATTTAAAATATTTTTTTTTATAATATACCATACATATTATAAATTTATAGATGCATCTCGATGCATTGGGTATTTCATATGTATATAGAATATTGATGGAAAAACAATAAACATTTTCATTAATTCGGAAAAGTTTATTTTTATGTCAGTCAAATATTTGTGCGCTCTATAAAATGTATTCCATATTTTGCAAACCGTTTTTATGGGCCAATTTTAAATTTTTACACTATTTTACACTATCAGACAAGCAGATATTCAATACCCTGTATGTAGAGTAAGTCATGTATAAAATACGAACAGATTTCAAAATTTATAGATGTGGAGCAATGTGTTCTCGGTATCTCTCGCGCGTGTAGTTACAATGTGTTTCCAACTACCCTCAAATCTGAATTTATCTTCGTAATTAAAACTGTGCAGTTGCATTCACAATGTGTATCAGTTGCATCATATTTACTTGTATTTATTGTGTTGCCGGTACCATGTACCCATAGTTGTTGTTGTGGACTTTGTGCTGTATTCATACCGACGCAGCCCCCACACTTAAAAACCCCAGAACGTTGGCAATTTGTTTTGCATGCCGTTGATGCCAAATGATTTATTTGGCACAAATAAGCGTTCATCTTGTGACCGACGAAGTTCTAAACAAAAACAGCCGTGAAATGGGTAACAAAAATTTTGCACTACTGCATTTAGAGATTTAGAGATTTGTCTTTTATTCACAGTTGAAGAACTTAGATTTCTGCAAAAGACCATTTAGGCACTTAATACTTTGCATCAGATAGGGAATTTAATTGGAAATTATTTAAAATTTAATATTTAATGAAAAAGAAAACTTAGAATATGAAATATTTAAAAATGTCCACCAGGACAATGTCCAGAAGCAGGACGGTATTGAACAATCGCTCGAATTATTAGTCTATTAGTTAACAAATATTTTTTCCTTAGTGATGCTAAGGTCCAGATATTAATATTTTTTATAGAGCATTTTATTATAAATTAATTAATCATTTAAGTTAATTATAATATTACGACTATTTATAACAAATAATTTGGCATAGCAAATCTTGTTAATATATAATATATACAAGTCGCTATTATATCGCATATACTTAGCATCACTCTAACCGTAGATAAAGATAGATCTAGATTAGAATTACTCTGATCATAAGTAAAGAGATATTCCTTAAAATTTCTTAATTCTAAATACACAATACATACGTCGATTTCCACACTTTTTTTTAATATTCGCTCCCAAAAAGGATGCGTTACTGTTGTGTACTAAGGCACTACCAATGGGTTAGATGAAACATTTCATGTAAGAGTATTACATTTGTTATCAAGTATTTATTTTTATTTTATTATTTAGACAATCGCTGCTTCTAAATTGAAGTCTGATTTATCAGTTATTGGTATCTAAGTTGCACGACAAGGCAATATACATATGTATAATATGTATATTATATTACTTCTTGTGATATCTAGAAGCAGCTGTCAGCGTGGAGCCCATCTACCTTAAAGGCAATTTTTACTACTTTTTCTATATAATCCAGATCATAGGATCCTAGTTATCTCAGTCCATGCATTTAGTTTATAAACCATTTAGTTTATAGTTGATAAATTCATCTATGCTGCTAAATAATTTGTGTATGCATTACATGCCAACTTCCAGTCCTCTTATCTTGACTTGTTAGAAACAGTTTCCCCATAAGTGGCATTATCTTTGCGTTATATATAACATTGTTTGCATTATTTTATATTTTAAATTTATTTTGTGAAAGACATCAGTTAAATATATTGCAAAATCAGAGAAATCCTATCAATGAAAAATGCCTACACCCTTTAAATAATACTTATTTACAGAAGATATTTTACTGTCTCAACCTGTAAGAAGACTTAAAACTCGTAGCTCCAATCATATATTAAAAGGCATAAATATTTTATTTATTTATTAATGAAATATTTTTTTTTATAAAAATAACAACTATAAGTTGTTCTGCTGTCCGAAATATGTCACAATTCCTAGTGACGTTATGTTTTTGTATAACTACTAAACACTTAACGATACTCTATGTCAGAGCACGAAAAATTCTATTACCCAAATAGTAAATTACTTATGGTAAATCCAATTAATAATTTATTTATAATTGTTATTTGACGCACAGATATTTGATACTCTTTTGAGAATATTAATATATTAATGAATGTTATTCACTTTTAAACTGCAGTCAAAGGCTCGTTTGTGTGGGATTAAAAAGTGAGTTAATGCAATCAAAAGATTATACCGCTATTACGTAGCTCCATGAGTAATAAGATAATAAAGTCATGATTTAATTTGATTTAATTACAAATTTAATTACACACGACAAAGTTCCATAATATTCGTGACACTCTTCGACAATGCAACATTTGAATTTCTCTCGAAATTGATGTAATGAATATTTTCAACAAATTTATGAAAAGATAAAAAAATTGTGTGCACAATAATAGTTGTACAAAAATCTTAAAGATTCTAGTGAAATACTGCCATTAAAACGCTTAAATACTTCACTGATATTGAAATATTTATTTTATTTGTTTTCCTGGGAACTCAGTTTTGCAATCTATTGTATAATGGAACCTGCACAAAATAAATGAAATTCTATTGAAACAAATCAATTGAGAGTGTGAGAGAAAACTTTGAATTTCATTCATTTTCATGGAAAAAGATGTATTTTATTTTTAATTTCTAAGAAAAAATCAAAAAAATAAAAAAAATAAAAATATGAATGTGTGATGATGTCATAGAATTTTCTTTGCGCTCATCTGTACTTTCAAGTATCTTACTAAATATTGTACTATATTAAACGTAGCCACGCAGTCTAGAAAGTATGTATTATGTATTTACATATAAGAAAAGTAATTTGTAATCATAGTTTATATTAATACTTATAAGAGCAATACTTAAAAATTGTATCTGTTATCGTTACAGGGTGGTTATCCAGCACGGCTGAAAAAAGTTTTAATTGTGACAGCGCCTTTATGGTTTAAAGCTCCTTTCAAAATTCTACGACTTTTCGTGCGTGAAAAACTCCGTGAACGTGTCTTTACTGTTTCTGTGCCCACGTTGAGTTTGCATATACCACGCAAGGCATTGCCTATTCATCTGGGCGGTACGCAAGATATAGATCACGCCACATGGTTGCTATATTGTCGCAAATCGATGACGAATCGTGAAGACGAACTACTTGCCAATATTGGGCAACCGGCAATAAATTGCAACAGTGTCAGTGACTTTTCTGGCGATATCATAACAATAAATAATCACATCACAATTGGTACACCGATAGTTGGTACAGAGCAAACAACGAATGGTGATTGCATACATTTAGGCACAGAGCTCAACGAAAATATAACAGTCAACGGTGTAAGCAATAGTGTTACATCACCCACATCACCTATCAATAATAAAAGCTCTTCAACAATCGCTACCGGCACAACGCTAGTTGCTTCTTCAGCACAATCAACTCCATTAACAAACGGTGTTTGTAGAGGTTCTTCGACAGGTTTAACAGAATTCTGGTCGGAGAACCCCCCCAGTAGTGCTTCTTCGGGTTTTAGTGATGACGACAGTCTGGCGGGGCAGGAAGGAGATCCAAAAACAATTGAACAAATTGTTCATTTGGTTAAAGAACGAGGACGCGATGGTCTATTTAGGGAATATGTAGAGATCAAAAGTCGAGCACCTGAAGGCACATTTGTGCATGCAAGGTAAGCCTTTAAATGGTATTCAAAAATCATTAAATCATTATGAACATATAAACCAAAATAAAGGGATAAAATTAAAACAGAATGGTGTAAAGCAAGTAGTTAATATTTTTCATTTGAAATGTAGAATAATAAGTAAATTGTTGATTTCTAAGAAATAGGTTTGTGAACTATTGTAACACTTTGTTATAAGCAAAGTCATTTAAAACAGACTAAACCCCTTCGCTTCATTCATGCATACAGTTATTGCTCCATTTAATTTAGATATATATGAAAAAATAAACAACAGTTAAGCACGACTTATTAGCATCATAATATGAAAATAGCAAAACTAAATCAATTTAGAATAACAGAATGGGAATGGGAACAAGTGTACCGTTTAGATTTTAAAAGCTCTATCGGAAAGTACAGAAAATACAAAGTTATATTGTAAAAACCAAATACAAAAGAAAGCATTCTAAATATATTTCCAATTTACAAATTAAAGCAACTGTCATGATTTTGATGCAAATTTGGTTGGTACAATTGGCTGGGCAATTGCCACATTTTATCATTAAATTAAAATACAGCGAGTTGAAAATCCATATTTTTGCACCATCCTGATCATCTTCAACTATATACGAGTATGTTCAGGTGACTGTACAATAATCTATGCGGAATTAATCGAGTTCCTTTTTTTTTTAGTTTGATTTTTATCCAGATATTGATTTCTTGTCATCTGCGACAAATGCAGATTGTAATTAGAATCTGCATGAGTTAAAGACCACACTAACTATGTTCTTTGAGGAAGATACTACTATATTTTTATTCGGACTGAACTGAATGATGCACTGCACTATGCAACATTCCTGGAACAAACTACAAAGTTTTTCCTCGTACGGGTGGCATACTTCCCATTATAAATCACTACTAAATACGACTATAAAAGCGTTGTAGAAAAGTATCTAGATTTATTTTAGAATATTGTATATGTATCATTTTTAATATATGTACATAAATTTCAATACAATTCCTATTGGGGCATAGTGCCATATCTTGCAGAGAAGAATATCCTTTCATAGATTCAAATAAAGTTTTTATTAGCCCAAAAATTGGGTTAAGGCTTACCTTACATTGAGTGTTATTGTTCATAAATTTAAATTCTGAAATCTCTAGACAACACCTAAGCTAATATGTAGGAATTTTTCTTAAGTTAGCAATTGCATTTAATCACCTTCTATTTATTTGTTGTCTTATGTATAAAAATTTTATATTTACTATTTTTTATTCAACTAAAAGTTTAAATTATATAGAAATAATATGTTTCTTATATATATTCATTATGTTTTTTATTGTATATTTATAGAATGCGGAATAATTTGGCCAAAAATCGTTATACAGATGTACTGTGCTATGACCACAGTAGAGTGGTGCTCTCCCGTGAAGATGGCGATGATTCCGACTATATAAATGCTAATTTCGTAGATGGCTATAAACAAAAAAATGCTTACATTTCAACTCAAGGTAAATATAGATTTATATGTCTGTAAAGAAAAAACACAGCCCTCAAAACTGAATGCGTCACATAAAATATAGATGCAACAATACAATTGAAATCTGAAAATCTGTTTTTATATGCACTTGTACTTTATGCTCCATAATTACGATTGACCCTAATGTATCATATAAAGAAGTGAAAGTCCACACATCCATACATCTCAATGTTCTTTATACATTCATTGTTGATGACTTTTATAGTCGGATTTTAATGGAAGATGGAAGATGGAAGATAGAAGATAGAAGGATAACATGCAAACCCTTACTGCAATAACAACAGAATGTTGAAAGTCAACATGCCTCGGTCCAAGCATCTGAATGACAAATAAAGCATATTGCACGTTTGAGTTTTCATTAGGGACCAATTTTACATATTTATTCCATATTTTTTTTTTTTGTAGTTTCTATGTTTAATTCTTTTTTTATGACACAAATTTACTCACATTAAACGTTGAGTTGTTTGTGCTCATCTGTGGCTTTTGTGCTGTGAAGTGAATTTTAATGTACTTCTGATTTCGTCATTTACGCTTTTAAAAGCTAATGAACGTCCTTGTATTTCTTTGCAATGCAGATACTTTTGTATTATATGAGTATATATATTTTTCATTTAACTTGCCCCCTACAAAATGTTCGTATTGAATATTGAATGCTTTACTAACAACTAACAACAAAAAAAGAACAAATCGAAGCCACAGAAATGTTTTTAAAATGAAAAAAAAAATACATTAAAATAAGCATTTTAATGAACAAAATTCTGTGGTCGCATTTTCCAAAGCATTTTTGTGTCCCAGTTCTAAAGTTAAAATTAAATCTTGACTTAAACAAAAGTTTTTAACTTTTAAATGTAAAGAATTAGTTTGTTGCTACTACTAATTAAAATATTAACAATCTAAAACTATTAAAATATCTCATCGTTTATCCTGTAGCTCTTCGAAACCCATAAAGTATATTACCAAATATCCATCATGAGTGGTCTTTGTGTTTGTGTCAGGTACCGAACACTGTAAAATTGGAAGAGAGGATTCACACTTGGAAAAACATTATTTACAGCTATCAATAAATAGTCCAAAAGAGCACTAATAATCAAAATTTGACACCATCCAACTTTTTCTATTTACAATAACTTATCATAGCACATAAAAAAGTTAACAAAAAAATGTTTTAAATTATTGAAAAAAGAATTTAACACTTCAAAAAAAAAAAAAGAAACAGAATGTATTAGTTAATTTCAATATTATGTTTTTTACTTAAGGTCCTTTACCAAAGACATCCCAGGACTTTTGGCGTATGGTCTGGGAACAACATTGCTTAGTTATAGTTATGACAACACGTGTAATGGAACGGGGACGCGTCAAATGTGGTCAGTACTGGGAACCGACTGAGAATAGTTCCTTAGAATTTGGAAATTTTCATGTGCGAACAATTAGTATAGAATCCAATGAAGAATATACACTATCTTCATTAGAATTGAAAAATATTAAGGTAACTACTTTAAAAATGTTCAAATATAAGAAGTTAACTTTAACAATTAATTAACTTGATTATGCTTTTTCTACAGACTGAAGAAGTACGAAATATCTCACATTGGCAATTTACAAGTTGGCCTGACTACGGTGTTCCCAGCTCAGCGATGGCTATGTTAAATTTCTTGCAAAAAGTACGTGATAAGCAAGCGCAAATGGTCAAAGCTTTGGGTGATACATGGGCTGGACATACTCGCGGTCCACCAATTGTTGTGCATTGTAGTGCAGGCATTGGAAGAACAGGTTAGTTTATCTAGCAAAAAATTAAAGACAGCATTGATTTTTAATAATATTTTTCCTCTTTTTTTTTATATTCAGGAACGTTTATTACTTTAGATATATGCATATCGCGCTTGGAGGATGTGGGTACGGCTGATATACGTGGTACAGTGGAAAAGATTCGTTCTCAGCGAGCATTTTCAATACAAATGCCAGATCAATATGTGTTTTGTCATTTAGCGTTAATTGAATATGCAGTCTCCCGCGGTATGTTAAAATCTGTCGACTTAGAGGGATTTGAGGAACGAGAAGACGATTCTGATTAAGTAAAGATACTGTTATTTCAGTCATTTTCATGAACTTTGGTTATAACTTACAATTTATAGAATCTAAAAGCATTGTTGAAATGTATTAGATATTTAAAAAAATCAGACCATATAACCATATTTGGATATACATAACTATTTAGTAGCTTATTTAAGTATTTTAGTAAAGTGAAAAAATTAGTTAAGTTAAATTATATACATTAATATACATAAAAATATTTATATATTTAGAAACAATCATACATTAAATTGAATTGTAATTATAATTTGTTTAAAATTGTAAAATTTTATTATAGAATTTAATTGATTAATGTATATGTATACTTAAGAAATTGTGTTTTTTTTTTCAAAAATTTAGTTTTATAAAGTTAATTATTTATAAATGAAGGTAGAGAGAATACTTATATATAAAATAACATTTGTAACGAATCCAATATAAGATAAAATAATGCAATAGTTTATAGTTAAAAGAAAAACTACATTAAAAAATAAAAGTCTAACAACAAATGTGAATTGCTTAAATTTTTTTTTTTTTCAATCAAGATGTGGTCAAGTAGTTTCTGTAGAGATATTTTTTATAAAATATTTTGATTTGTCGCTTGTAGATAAAAATATTTATATTAGTTTTTGATAAAAAGTAGGTACAACTAGCTAAAAATAACTAATTTAAAATTTATATAAAAAATTTATACCATATATATGTATATGTTAAACTTTTTTAAATATGATTTATGAAATGAAACACAGGTGTATAATTTTATAATTAGTGTAAAATTTTATAATTAGTGTAAAATTTTTACTTTTGAGAAAGTATCAGTACAGTTAGAATTTAACCTTTTATATATGTTTATATTTAATAACGTTTTGAGTGTGTTATTTCAAGTTTCTTTTAATAAGGAGAAATATAGAATTTGGTCAAAGCTAGTCTGCATATATTATTTGTCTTATATATAATTCTTTTTAATGATGTTTTTACAGCAGAAAATACTTTTCTGATGTACTAAATATAAAAGTAATAAAATAAAAGAAAACAACTTTTATTTATTATAACGGAAAACTTTTGTAAATTTGATTTTTCATTTAAATATTAAATCAATTACATTAAATTTAAATTCATATTTAATTGTACATACTTTATATGTATTAGTAAATTTTAGCTTATATGGTTTAAAAGATTTATTTCGTATTTGTTTTTACTTAACGTAATAAAATTATAATTTTATTATGTTCGTTTTTATGCATAAAATAAATACAGGCTAAAAAGTATAAATTTCTTGATAAGTGATGTTGTAAAGTACAACGAATGCAAAATCAAATATTGGCGAATGAATGTTTTACGCAGATTTTAAAACAAAATATACTTAACTGTTGAGCCAGATAACAAATACGAACCGTCCTCCAGCGAAAGTAAAGTTTCAATTCAAATATAGATTTCCTAATATTAAAATAGTTAATAACAAAATTCAAATAATACATCCTAATAAAAAATTAAGCCTTTTTACTAAAGTACGAAATCAACATATATAGTTTACGACTATTTAAAAATGTTCAATAAATTGTTCACTGATTTACTTTATTCTTTTGTTAATATGAATTTTGTATATTTATAAAATATGTAATACAAAAGAAACATAAAGAGTTCACGTCAATAAAACAATTTTAAATAATGCTAAAATATATAAAGAACTTTATATATTAATTATATACTGAACACTAATAGAACGTTTAAATAGTATATAAATAATCATCCAAAACCAAAACCTTTTCTTCAAAAAATGTAATATGAAAAAATTGTAAAAATTCCATCTTTATTAATTTTGTATATTTTTGTCTGTATTAATTGTTGTAGAATTTAATGGTTAAAATCATTTAAATAAGTAAATCAAATTTATATATCCAAATAATTATAAAACTATTAAATATTGCTATTTTAACTTTTAGAAATAAATGCATCTCAAATTTTATTTAAATATTAGGTCAATAAATACATAATAATTAAATGCATTCCACACTATAAACTACAAATCCATATTGTCTACATATATCAGAGATTACTCCGATAGTTCTATAGAAGTAAGACATAGCGAATTTTTGATTAATTCTGCTATAAAAGACATACTCTTCCTATTCTCCATTTTGTACAATTTTTAAAGCATTGCAGCATAAAATTTAATATACCAAAATAATTATAAATGTGCTTTTAAAGCTCAAGAATATTGTTTGTTTACCATATACCCCAAATTCCAATAAGATTTTCTAGATACAACGTAAGCAAATATTATGCATAATGGATATTAATACCAGTGATTTTTAACATTATTTTCCAAATATTTTTTGTATGCACTGAATCTATCCATAGCACTATTAACTTCTATTTCCTTACATGAAGTTCAGTGTATTGAATATCTCAGCTTTTATTCGAACTGTTCGTAGCTACGAACCCTTCATGGCTTAAGAATTCTCGTACATTTGAAGTGTCCGATTCAAATATTTGAATTCGAATATAGTCGAAAAGCTAGCTTTGTAATGTTCGAACACATTGAAGTATTAGTTTACATATAAACATTAAAAAGTATAAGACAAATTTATTAATTTATTAGCTTTTGTTAAATCTGTTCGAAGCATCGAGTATTTTGATGTTTAATATTGTCTGTAGTCGAGCATTTGATCTCGTACACTGTGAACTGCTTAAAAATGCCCGAAATTTATATGCAAGTGTCCGTTCCAAATGTTCGAATTCGAATAAATTTGAACTGGTCGAGTATCTCGAAAATCAAACAATTTGAAGTATTACTTTGTTTACATATAAATATAATCGCAAAAATTTCAATCGTTTGAAATTTTTATATTACTTACTATAATAAATTGAACTCATTTTATGGCTCGAAAAATATAATCTAATCTAACATAATATAAGAGATTTTGATTTTGATTAGCGTCTTCACAGAAGGTGGATATATGCAATTAAAAAGTGAATATCAGAAAGTTTTTGTACAAAATGAAATATTGCACAAGTCTGTAAAAACTTCTAATACCGCATTTAAAATTTTAATTTTGAGAGTAGAAAAAATATTTTTATATCGCTTCTCGTTAAATGAAATTAGATTTTATAAATGTAATAATATAATTAACATAAACAAATTAAACTCCGGTTCACAGACGTTTTCTAGAAATCCAATAAAATAAAATTTATTAAAATAATATTAAATTTTTTTATTAAAAAATTATTAAAATGAATTGTGTAAAAATTGTAAAACAAAGCCGAAAACTTTGCAGCATTGTTTGTATCCAATCTACAAAGTTTAGATAATTTTACCTAAAACTTTAATAAAATAAAATATTCGATATCGAAACATTATCTAAGGCTTCCTCTGACTAACGCATAAATTTATGTAAACACAAAAAATAAAATAAATGAAACGTAATGTAAATTTGAATTCAATGACAAACACATAATACATAAAGTTTTAACCTATCCCATCGTTATCTATTAAATTATCACTTTAAATGTATATACAAACATATAATATATGTTGAGTATATCTTCCCCAACTTTATGTTAAGGAGCACTCGATTGAATTTTTAAAAAAGTATGCAGAAATGTATAAACCACATGCAATATGCTATATAATTTCTATAACATAAAAACAATATATAAATGTATATTAAAACCAGAAAACCATATTTTGTTTCAATTGTTTGGAGTAACCTTAACTTTTGTACATACTTGATTTTGGTTCATTGAATAAACAATTAATTCACTGTTTAAAATTATTTCATTTAGAATTAAACATTTTACTATGTATTAATATTTTCACTACAAAACTATGTTTATATGTTTTAAGAGTTTGACACCAATTGCCAAATTATGTAGAATGTCTTCTTAATTAAAAATCCAAATATAATTGGATATAATTGGATTTTGAAAAGCAAAATTTTACACGCATATACATATAGACGAAGAATATAAAAAGTAATAATTTCACTAAAGTTTTTATTTTATAAAATAAAAGTTATAATAAATGGATCATTCATTTAAATTGAAAGCGAATTATATTTCCTTCGTTTAAATTATATTCAGCCAGTTTGGTTTTTTTTTGGTTTGGTTTAAGACCGACCCATAAAACTTGGTCTCCATCTTTTAACCATTGGGGATTCTTTAAGTTTTACTTGCAGTTCGCGTTCCTTCTCTTCCATTTGCTCTAGCAAAATGCGTTGATTATCTTTGAATTTTTCTAGTGGATCATCGAACTGCCGATAATAATTTAGTACCTCCCTTACATCGGATACATCAGAAGTTGCAATTGCTTAAAATAGAACATTTTCTTAACAATATAAAAATTATTTTTAATAATAATAGTTTACTTTTTAATAAATTGACTAGGTCAAACAATTGCGCATCATCATCATTGCCCATCCATCTGCCAATATTAAAAGTATTCTCTGGATGCATTTGTGTTGAGTTGGGGTCCCAGTCAATGACTATTACCTACAAATATAGTACATATTTAATATTATTTATATTGTCGTACGAGTATAAAATATATCAATATTTTCGACTTTTGAATAAGAATAATTTTATAAAAATAATAAATTTTTGTATTTATAAAAACACTTAACCGCCTAAATTTTATAGCAAAAACTTTTTCAGAGTACACACAAAAAAAAAAAAACAAATAAAAGTTGATGGAAATATTGAAAGAACATAGTTATCTCCACCTTTCATCGATTACTTCATCAAAAGAAGGCATTCACGTGTGTTTTTTATGATTATATATATTATAATCTATGAATTTACCTTACTTAGATCTCTGTTAAGGTTAGTCAGATTTTTTACATGGTGTCCATCAACAAAATGAGTAGCATCACGCACCAAGCGATACATTATATACCCATTTGGATCCAAGGCATCTAAAATTGGAAATACGGTCATGCCCTGTTCAGCAGTAAAAACTACAATTTCGAAGTGTTTTGCGCATTCATGTAAAAAGTGATCAACACCAGGACGTTTTTTAAAACGCCATCCAGTTTGATATGTCCAATCCGGATGTACCAACACGTCTTTCATTTCTAATATTAATGTATATGTTGGCTGTATATATGGTGGTTTGAGAGGATCTGGGAGTAATTTGTCTCTCGATGGTTCTTGAATCATTTTCTGGTAATAATGCATAGATCTCCACATTCGTAGAAAATATTGCTGCAATAGTGGTTCGGAGCTGAATTCGTCTTCAATAACTTTACCGTCAGTATCCACATCAGGTTTGCCGAATTCATACATAGCCCAAAGGCCTACTGCGATAGATGCGCCACCAAAAATGGCAAAACTACATTAATGTTCAAAAATCTACCATAAAAATTATGCAATAATAAAAAACTGAATAAACCAACCCCATTTTCATACGCTTCCACGCCTTTTCATTTTCGGCCTTATCTTCCGCTTCTTTTTTCTTACGTTCGCGCTCGACTTCTTCCTCTGATTTTTTTTCTCCCGTTTGAGGAAATAATCGTGAAAGCAACTCTGTCCCTTGCGTCTTTTCTATAAAATGCTTACTATAATTGTTATCCAAAAGAAAATTCTTTTAATACCAACTTGTAGTTTCTGTTGTCAAATTTCTGTATTCTGTAATATTTAACGAAGCTACTGGCGGCACCGCATGTTGGAAGTGATTATTCAATATACATTTTTGTTTCATTCCTTGAAACAAATTAAAACGGCGCGTAGTGTTGTTTCCAAAGTTATGTACCAAATTATATATATTCCTATGTGCCATGCTGTTATAATTTACAAAAGAACTTCGCAATTTTGCTTGATAAATCAATGTTTATTTCATTTCACCGGCGTATAATGTGATCAAAATTTTTGCTGGTATTGCTTTACTTTATTACTTTGACAGCTCTTTGACAGTACTTTGACAGTTGGAGCACTGCTGACCTCTGTGCTCAAACTTAAAATGCTGTACATGTGACATCTAGCGGTGCGCAATTAACTTAAAAATGATATATTTTATTATTTACTTAAATATTATACATCTTTTCCCTAATTAATAATAATTTAGAAAAAAAAAAATAATTATATTAAAAACTTTGGTTTTAAAGTCAAATATGACGAAGAACTTTTTTAAATAGAAAAATTCAAACAACAATTAATTGCAACAGTTAAATTTAATACACAATATTCAATTAATTGCATTTATTGCATTCTAAATATATACGTACAAAATGTTAATTATATATAATTATGGGACATATTTTGAATGCATCCGCAATAATTAATAATGCAATATTTTATTATGACATATAATAATATGTCTATATTCTATTAAATGACTTTATTTATATTTTAGCTTATATGGGTTAACTTTACTATGGTTTGGTATTATCAGAATAAACAGGATTATTATAAAGCTTGACTAAGTTTAGAATAAGAAAATAACTAAAGAACAACGCTAAAGCATATACGATTTTCACTATTGAGAACTTGATTACTGTATAAGGGAATTAATAACTTGAGGCTGTGGTTATATTGCATACGAATTTAGTTTTGCGTACTCGTACAAACAAATCAAATATTTGTAATCATATGTTAGTGGTTAAAGTTGCTGAGAAATATTCACACGACATGTCTCGCGCGAATTTTTGATTAAAGAAAATTTTGAAATTTTGTTAGCTGAATATAACAAATTGTAGTGTCTTCCAATTTTGCAATGGCATATAACATGCATATTGTTGCGTAGTTATTGTTCCTTATCATTTTACACGCTAACAAATGGGCGTATATTAAATCAATTATATTATTAAATCAATTGTATAATATAATTATTTTTTATTAACTAATGTTTCATTTCAGACATAAGCACTAATTTTTTTTCAGAGTTGTAAAAAACAGCATTAAGTCTGGTTGAAACATATGGACATCACTTTAAAATGTTGATTTTGTTAAATGCTTATTTTTGACATATGTTTTTTGTTGAGCACTTGTTTGTTTTTTTCAGAGTAACAATAATGCTCTTAAAATCTTCAAAATCAGGTTCTACACGCAAAAATTTTTAGGTTTAAGTTTTATTGCAGTCAAATTTAAGAATTAGTCTATTATGAATGTTCAATGGAAATATGTTCCAAAACTCTAGTTATCCATTAAAATCATATAAGCATTTCGGTTACTAATATATTCAAATACATAGATAAATAAATTAATTTAAATATATAAGATAAAAATGTTAACCATTGCCCTTCTAATATTTACTTCGTTTTCTTTTATATAAATTAATTAATTTTTAGTGTACAATTTTTATATATCATATTGTAGACAATACAACAAAAAACATACATATGTCATAAATAAGCATTTGAAATATTTGAGTAGTAATGCCAATTTGTTTCAACCAAACTTTTCTGTTTTTTACAATTCTGAAGAAAAAATTACGGCTGATAAAATATAAAATTGGTAACAATAAAAAGTGGTTGATTTATATAAAAGAAAACAAAATGAATATTAGAAGGGCAATAATTAGCATTTTTATTTATTTATTTAATAATTTAATTAATTAATTTTTTTATTAAATATAAAATACTCATATGATATTAACGGATGACTTAATTTTGCGATATATTACTTATTTTGAATATTTTATGTCATCTATTTTTTTTTTTTTGCTTTAAAGAACCCTTTTTTATGTCAAGTAAAAAGTAAACAGAGAAAATACTAATATTGGAAATGAGCATCTGTTGTTGTTTTAAATTTATTTAATATTATTATGTTTTTTATTTTGTTCTATACTACATACAATACGAAATAAATGAAAATAATAGAATAAATATACCTATAGCAAAATGATGGAGACGGAGATATGTCGTGCCTGCTGTAATCAGAGCGACTCTCTCAAGTCACTTTACCAGTCGGAAGTATTTAATGAAGATAAGGAATTAACCCTTGGTGAAGTACTTTCTTACTGCACAAACATTGAATTTACTCCAATAGAAGATAAGAAGCATATTCTACCAGGCTACGTATGTGCTTCCTGCGAGGAAATCATAATTGCAATTTTTAATTTCCGGCAATTGGTATTAAGATCGGATCAAATTTTGCGCAGTGGTCTGGTAATGTACGATGTTGAACTGTGCAAAGATAGTAACGATGAAGAAACGGTTGAATCTGTGAATATAAATGTATCTGAGAATTCAACAGACTCCTGCCAATCCAATGCATCTTCAATACTACACGAAGATAGTGCTAAGAATAGTCCTAACGTTACGCAAAGTACTAATTTGAGGAACAAGACTCAAACTAATGATACAAAATCGTACAAAACTGAGGTTGAATGTAAGGTTTGTAGATTATTATTTATTTTTAATTTTATATAATGTTTCCTAAATTATTTTAGTCATGCCAAAGTGTATATGATAATTACGATTTATATAATGAGCATGTTACCAAATGTATCGGTTTAACTGCAATAAATGAAAATAACGATGAGAATCAAAAAGCTTCTATACATAATTTAAATAAATTGTCAAATTGCCAAAAACTTAATAACAATAATGTTTTTGAGTGCTGTAAATGTAGTGAAGTATTTACATCAGCAATGAATCTAAGAAAGCATATTTTAATTCATTGCGATATGATGACTTACTTCTGTCATATATGCAAAAAATCGTATAAAAGTATTCGTACGTTGCGCACACATATGTATTCACATACGGAAGAAAAGCCTTTTCAATGTGATATATGCGGCAAAGTTTTAACACAAAAACATATTTTGGTAACTCATATGCTGACACACACTGGGGAAAAGCCACATCATTGCAATTTTTGCGGGCAACAGTTTCGCGATAAAAGAACACTGCTGGTACATAAGCGTGGTAAACATAGCAACATTAGACCTTACAAATGTTCCCATTGTAAAAAATCATTTGCCACTTCAACTCAATTAAAAGTGCATGCCAAGATTCATTTCGATGGTCTTTTATTTTCATGTGCCTTATGTGATAAATCTTATCGGCAATCTCGTTCACTGCGGTTGCATATGCTGGGACATGCTGGTGAGCGGCCAGTTCAACCAAAAAATTTTACTTGCAATATTTGTGGTAAAAACTATCAACAATTATTTTCATTGCAAACTCATATGAAAACGCATACAGGTGAAAAGCCTTTCAAATGCGAAACTTGTGGCAAAACGATGATACGAAAATCTGATTATAAAAAACACATTCTTTCTCACAGCAATAACAAACCACACGTATGTGATATATGTGGCAAATCATTTCGGTATTCCAGCAATCTAAACGTTCATAAACAATATCACAAAGCCAAGAAATATAAATGTGAGTACTGTGAAATAAGTTATTATACCACTCATTCCTTGAAGCGCCACATAAGGAGCAGACATGCTGAACAAACTGATAATGAAAATAAATTAACTCTGTCGAACGAAGAGGAACGCACAAATCTGAATTGCAATTTAGTACAAATATATTAAATATTTCATTTATAAGTTAAAGTTAACGTTAAGATTTATTTGCAATAACATATAATTATACAAACAATTTAGTAAAACAATTTATAAATTAAAATTAATATTTTGTACATATGATTAAATTTAAACTTGAAATACCTGTGAGTAATATTTAATTCATTCAATACTATTAATACTAGTGAGATTCTTGTAAATGTTAAATGTATCTTATAACATAACATATAATAACTCCTTCCTTAACATTTTTTAATGTATGCTTATGGTATGCTCTGGTATGAGTAGACAATTGTGTTAAAGGAATGTAAGATATTTGCTTTAATAATTTGTTAAGGTTTTAAAAGCATTGAGCAAAAAATGTTTTAATTCTTTGACATTTAAAAAATTTTAATTGATATTATTATAAAAATATCTGCTCAGTTAAAAAAAAGAATGCTCTCAATTTTTGGGACATATACGTAGGTTTTACGCACACGGTTTTTGTCAAACCTTGAACATTTGTTAAAACGAATAAAATAACTAAGTTTAATGTATTGTTAAATATTTATTTCGAAATAATCCTATAGTCATTGAGGTACTTGTATATTTTTATTTTGTCTTATGTAAGTTGAAGGATTTAATTTACTTATTTATTATTTATTTTTTACGGGTGTTTTCTCATAATTTGCTTTTTACCTTTGTGAAAGGATATTGATATATTTCATATTTATTTTTACAACATATTTTGTTAGTGAGTTGACGTAATTATATACCCATAATTTTAGTATATGGATTTTATGTATTATATGCTTAGAAATAAACCATCTCTTGTTTAATTGCAAGTTTACGTTTATAAGTCCCTAGGTGATAGTAAATTTTTATTTAAAATTAAGTTTCAATGAATTCATCTTTTCTGATACATATCTTTGTAACATTTCAAGAACACCTTTCTATCTATTTATGAACCAGTTCTTCAAAAATCGATTTTCATTTTGGTTTAGTATCAAATAAATTTTACTTTGAATCCAAATTTTTTATTTACATATGTTTTTATACTAAAAAAAACTTAGTTTAAATTTGTTTGTAAAATCAATGAATTGTGATTAAAATTAAATTTAATATTAAGTAAAAAATTAGACCTTTCGGATAATATGTATTTGAAAAAGACTAAAATTATTACTAAGAAAAAATTGATTTGTTTATGAAAATCTCTTGAATTTTCGTTTAAATTTCTAACTTGATAAAAATAATTTAAATTTCGTTAAATATGCGTGAACTGTAATTTTCCAAATTTAATCTGTAATTGTTTCTAAACTTCATATACCTGATAGCCCGTGCAAATTTGCTGAACAGATTAGACAGCAGATTGTGCTACAATAACTATGCCATATATACGATGTTATGACGTTAAGTTCATTAAACATTTTTAATGCATTCAATCTGCGTACGTTTATTCCTTTCATTTCTTTAAACCACTGAATAAATCAAAACAGACACATTTCATCAAATTACTACTATAAACTACAGAATACAACCATGAAGCACAGACAATTGCTATTTTTTGAGGAACGTTTCTTCTGACCGAACTTTGCGATGCAAAAAAGGAAGTATACTGGGGTCAAAAATGTTATAGAAAAAATATTCTTTAGCAAGTTTTTCCCGTTTTCCCCGGTATGCTCGAGGTAGTTATGCTCCGATATTTGTAAGGTATTCTTTGATTTATTTGGTAACGTTTATGGATTGTCTTGAACTCTTAGGGCCATGTTACGCAGGCGATCAAATAGTCGTCAATCATCACATTTATTGTTGCTTTCAATTTGTTGATCGTCGATTAGGGTGCGTAATAGCACCCTAACTGCGCCATGTCATATGAAAAGTTGCATTACTAACGACATCTTACATATAGTCTATATCGAAACATAAGTTATTCGGCTTAATAATCGTTAATATGAAATTAATACTAGTATTCTGTTGCAATAAATTATTTTTCAACATCTATTACCATTTAAAACTGACAGTTAAGATATCCCATTTAATATATAGAGCCCAGAGCATGCAATAAAATAATGATTAAACATTCCCGATTTTTAACAATTAAATCAAACAATATATTTTTAATGTAACGCCACTGTGTTAAACCAAAAAGTATTAATTAATTAATGTAAATAATTTTAAAATAAGTTAAATTTAAAGTTAGTTAATAAATTTATAAAATAAATATAATGATTATTATATGAGTATCTTAATTGAATTCTTTTTACCATCTCGCTTTTTGTAAAATTTATTATGCAAAATAAATTATTCTATAATAAATTGAAACAAATTTTTTAATCTGACGATATTCGAAACTAACTCATTTTGGTCACTAAAATTTTCTATTTTCTTAGATCTGCATTAGTTGTACACGTTTTACACATAGGAAAGCAATTCATAAAAGTGGTTTCAAGTATCCGAGCCCAAAGTGTGACTTATGGCTCAAAATGTTATCGGCCATTTGAAAAGTATTAGATTTTGAATAGTTAAGTTGCTATAAATACAGTTCCCACTTTCATTTAAAATAAATAATCGGTAAGAGTTCATTTCAATCCATTGGAGACTGTCTTAAATACGAGCTTTTAAATGTTTTTGCTAAGATTTTTCGCTATTTGCTTACTAACTCAGTGTTTGTTTGCAAAATTTATTGTTTATAAATCGTTTGGAGGTAAATATATTTACACACATAAATATATGATATAACATTTTCAGGTCCTTTTATTGAGTAAGATATTATCTTCGTGATTTTGATATAATTTTTTACTGATGGTTCAGATGATCAACGAGAAAAGACTATTAATTAGCTGATTTTGACAGAATCATCTGAAGTCTGCTTTTAGTTCTAGAAATAACGATAATTAATTTAAACAATAATTATAAAATTTTCAAAATGAAATAATTGAAGTTTGAAATTTCAGATTTATTTAAGTGTAATGGAAATACTTTCAAGAAAATAGGATCTAATTATTATTATATTGAAACTATTAAGAAGGTGAGATTTAATAATGATTTATAACTTTCAATAATATCGTATAAAAAATAAATAACATTGAAATTATAAATTTAAAGGAGAATTGGTTTGAAGCTGCCGCGAGCTGTCGAAGACTCAATGCAAATTTGGCATCAATTGAAACCGAAGAGGAATATGAGGCTCTTATAGATTACCTAAAAGAAAAAGAATATGGTGATTGGTTTTGGCTGTCTGGCAACGACTTGGGCAATGAAGGGGACTATGTTTGGCTAGGTACAGGCCAACCTATGACATATAGAAAATGGTACGAGGGCCAACCAGACAATACTGCTGAATTGGAGCACTGCATCCATATATGGGGTATAAATGGAGAATATGGTTTAAATGATGCTAAGTGTTCCGAGAAAGAACTATATATTTGTGAAGCTGATGAAAAGGATATGTTCACATATGCTTAGGTTTGAAATATAGTAAGAAGTTTAATATAATTTAAAAGTAATTGATAAATGCAATATATCAAATTTATATAATTTCTTTAGGATAATTTTTTGAAATAAATTAACAGCAAGAGTTAATGTATTTAGGATTAATACTAATATTTTGAGTTTAATAATTAAAAAATAGTAATTTATCATAAAAACTCTTTGATTTTTAGTCTTAGGTATACATTCGTACTATTAATCATAGCATTTTTTATTCTGTTAGATACACCTCTTATATGAGGTTTGTTAACGCAATTACAACTTTTTGTGGTCTATGTAGTTGACATGATTCTCATCTCCCGGGTATGCCTATTTAATTCGGATTTTAGTAAAGACAATTATTTGGTGTAACTTTTTATTAAACTATAAGCCAATATAGCCAGAGTTACTAATTTTTGCAAGTTGAGGTATATCCCACCTGTTTATATGACAATTACCAATTGTATAATTTGTGTGATTAGTGTAAAAATTGCATGAACCAGTTGGCCCTAGATATAAAAAATTATCAAGTTTAAACTTCAATGTCTTAAGAAATAAGTTATATCGATATGTGGTTTAGTGGAAAAAGTTACTCAAAATAGTAGAGTCTACAATGTTGTTAAATCGGTGAGCCCAGTCAAGCGGAATCACACCACGTAGTTTGTTTTTGAGTTGCAGGACAAATAAATAGTCATTAGCTGACAAATCAGTACTATAAAGTAGAGGAGAGATTATTTCAATAGTTTGAGTACTTAAATAGGTGGGTCTTACGTCTTACGACTCATATTTTATGAGTTTTGGTTTGCCGAGTTTTTTAATCTCTCAGAACAGTTATGGCAAAGAATTTGTGAGGTGAGTTGAATTCATAACTATTCGTTCTACGTTGCTCTATTCACTATTGTCATTAACAAAAACAGAAAAAATTTTTCGAAGTGTGTTATATTTTATTTATAAGTAGATATATACCAAATATCGGTAATTAATTTCGGCGGCCAATGAATTAAAATATATTTATTACATGTTTTATGTAATTATATTATTAAGTGGCATAATAATAATAATAATAAGTGGCATAAATCTTTTACCTTCTTGCCATATATTATTTTGATACTATGGCGATTTTATTTCATAGGAGTAATTGCATATGGTAATCCTAAAATATTGCCTAACCAATATGATATAGTAATATGCATTGTATTACTATTGTGATCAGTGAGTTTTTTGTCACATCCTTCAGATAAATTAAACATCGATTTAAACACATTAAACTTTATGTTGAATTTTTACAATGAACGATTAAAACATGGCTGTTTCTCATATCTGGACAGATTATTATGGTTATGGTTAGTTATTTAGCAGACAGGTTGAAAAATGGATATAGTTGTTTTATAAAATGCTGGTTCCGAAATAAGATTTTTTAAGAAATAGAATATCACTCTTGTTAACAGATGCTACTTTCGGTTAAACAGTCAACTGAGAAATAAACTTCTCTGTTCATAAACAAATACTGCGCGTTACAAGGGTCTTTTCGCACATGTCTCTATTCAATAGGGATGAGAAGGCATTAGGTGCATTCTAGATAAAAATTAGTTGGAAGACCTATAGTCCATCTACAGTGAAAGGACAAGGTTATTAAAGATATACCAAGTAATACCAAGTGGCGACACCAAGCCATTGATCGAAAGAAGCCTGAGGAAGTTCATTGGACGCGGCCATGGATGACTTACATCTGTAATGGTTTACTACAATAAGTATTCGTTGAGAAAGTTAGAACCAGGTTTAGAAGAAGTTAGTTGGGGATGTAACCAAGAAGGGATTATAAGGTGATAATCTCTCTCTATTTTTATTCTGTTTATGATGCGATTTTTAATAAACAAAAAATTTTTTAGATAAAATGCTTAATTTGCTTTTAAATTTATTTTATTTCATTTTATTTTCTCTTATATTTAATTTTTTAAAATTAAAAAACCAAAAATAAAACTAAATTTGGCTGAACAAAATTATTCGCACAGCTAACGTAAAAATTAAAAAAGAAATTTCGATAACAATTAATATTTTTATTTAATAATAATATTATTAATATTATTTTCTATTTAATAATAGCGACTATTTGTTTTGAAATCGAAGATATCAATTTTTGTTTGGTTTTTGGTCCCAAATTTTGCCACTCTTCAACAGTGCCACCTTGAGTTCTGCCTTTGTTGTTATAATGGGTTTCTTTGGACGTCTATCCAATTTAGTGGCCAAGCTCTTCTATTTAATAATAGCTACTATTTGTTTTGGAATCGAAGAAATCAATTTTTGTTTGGTTTTTGGTCCCAAATTTTGCCACTCTTCAACAGTGCCACCTTGAGTTCTGCCTTTGTTGTTATAATGGGTTTCTTTGGACGTCTATCCAATTCTATATTTGCACAACTCGTATTATTATGTTGCGTTCACGCAAATTTCAATTTACTTTACCTCAATTTACTCGAGTTCGCACACGGCCTAAGTACAATATCAGCAATTAGAACTTAAACTTATGACACCTACCTTGTTAAATTACGAAGACTATATACTTTTTTATAGTTCTTACATTATAACCTTATTAGATATTGTTGGTTTTAGTTATGCTAGAATAATGCAAAGATTTAAAAATATTATATTTTCACAATTTTTTTAATTATAACAATATATTTAGTACTAAAAAATCACAGCAATGAAGTGTTTATTTTAGTACCCAAAACACACATGTCCCTTTAAAAGTATTAAAATCCTACAGGATCGACAGCGAAACTGATCATTGAGCGGGAACTACTCTACACAACAGTAAAAATGTTTGGAAACAAACACAATTTCCATTCCAATAGCAGCTCAAGCTCAAGTTTGCAAGCGAAGAGAAGTGAAAATGAATATTTCTGAAAAAAAATAAAAAATAAAAAACCAAAAACAATTTGTGTTTGCAAACGCAAACACAAACACAAGCAAGACGAACACTCCAATCAGAAAGCGAATTCATTTTCGAAAATGAACGCCAGCAATTGCACCGAACTAAGCAGAATATTGTAAGTGGATTTCAGTTTCAAATGAGAATTCGTGCGCGTTGGTTGTGTGGAAATCGATGTGCTTAGAAGAGACAGGGCACGCGGACGAAGTGCCTTTTTGTTGATAGTTTGCAAGCGGCAGATGTGTGTAAATAAAACGTAGAACGCATAAGAAAGTACGAGCAAACGTGCTGTTGCGCGGATGAGTAAGTCGAGTTCGTAACGAAATTTTTAAGCAAAACAAAAATTGGTGGTTGCTGGCATTTGTTGTGGATAAGTTTTGTGTTTCTGGCACACACACACACTGTCTGCGTAACTCTGCACACACAAAAAGCCAAAGCAGCAGTTCTGCTGTGAGATACAATGCAATGCAATACACTTAAAGCCGGTGACTAAATTCTACCAGGCGAACAATTTAAATGATTGTTTATTTTATCAAACAGACAAACAAACAAACAAACAATATTTGCAAATAATATTTCCTTTAATTATTTTTTTTTCTACGTAATGCAACTAAAGTGATTCTTATGTGAATAAATAAAATTAAATAAAATATTTAAAATCAGAGATTTTCCTATGATGAAGTGGATGAAGTGGATTATGTGATTTATAGTTTCAAGCAGTTTATTTTGAAACTTTATCAGTGGATGTTGTTAAAAATATTATATTTTATTAAAGTGCGCCATAAATCTCTTGGATTAAATATTTTAGCAAACTTACCTGTTATTGCTGCACTGACAGAGTTTATTTACTTGTGTCACAACAATTCCTGGAAAGCAAAGGTTTTCGAATAAAAAAAACCGTAGACGTTCTCTGTATTGGTGTCTAGTGAGTTCGTGCCGCTGTCGTTGTTATCAAATCATATCAAGGTAAAAGCTAAAAGAACTAAAGTACGTCAAGAAAATAATAAAAAAAATACATTTCAAACCACATGTGACTGTGCTAACAAATGAAAACCCATAGCCACAAGACTCTCATTTACGATATTAGTTATATTATGATGTTATGGACTTCCCCACTTTGTGATCGTACACATGCAAATTTCAATTTTAAAAATCTGTACAGATACAAAAGACAACTGTCCAGTGACAGCTAAGCTTAGGTTTGTGCTACGACGACACAATTTACAGTTAAAGTACATTGAAGTTTAATTAAAATGATATCCGTTGAGTGAAAAATGCTGATCATTCAGAATTTAGAGAAGAAAATACATAGAATGAAACTCACAAAAGAAATATACAGCAATTCTCACAATTTACGATTTTAATCCAAGTTTTTCACCGGTTCCATGCAATTCATCACAACTTGTTTGAAACGTCACAAAGCAAATTAGACGTTTGTTGTTCCCATCAAGTGACTTCACATAAAATTAATTGAGTATCGCAGATTGAGTATCTAAAGAGCAAGTCACTCATCCATAATCGCCCACACTTAATTAACTCAGTAGCTCAGTAAAAGCTTAAATCAAATGTTCACACAACACAACTTCTTTTTCAATGACAAACAAGAGAAAAAAAAAATAATAGTTTAAGTATAAATTTAAGTATATTTAACCAAATATATTTAACCAAGAATTTAATACCAAAATTTAACAATGAAATCTTCAAAAAGCGACTACTTTTCAGGATATGGAATTAAAACGCTATTTTTTAGTAATCAGTTCTATTCGTTATTGAGGATTAATTCTTAAAATAATGACATTATCTAAAGCGGGGAGATTGCAGAATACTTGAATCGTATTACGTACGTGTAAAAAACTAAAAAAAACCTACTGAAATTGGAGCCACAAGTTCCTATTTCAGAGTATTCAATGCATGTTCTAATTTAATCAGTTCTAATTTATGAACTCTCATATATTATTTTAGCCTATTATTAATATATATTGAAATATAAGTTGTTCTCTTTGAAAACATATAAAGAGGTATATTAAAATTAAAAGCATTAACATTTCACCCACGGTTGGGTTTGGTTTAAATGGAAGCCTT